GGGTATGTATTTGCCGTTCGCAGGATATTCAACCATTTTGTGGGTGTGGGTGAGGATTTTTGATTGAAATACTTGCATCCAACCACCCACCCAGACCTCACCTAGTCACACCTCACCCACCCTCTCAAAATAGGATCGTCGCACTAAAGTTGTTTTTGCAGTCGTACCGGGACTCTATCGAAACCCGATTTTTCACTAGTTTTTTTAACCTAGCTCGGATCCTGGAGCAGCCCGACTGACTGTGCTGCATCTGTAGATTTTTTACGCAGTATCAATGAAATGGCATGCTGAAGCTGCGTCACTCGCTCATTCGCTTTTTTTCACCAAATTTGCGCCGTTTGATCACACATGCTCTCCTTTCAGCAAATAGAAATTGATTTGCATACAAGTGGCGAGCAGAAGAAAACAAGTTGTTGTTATTCTCTGCACGAATCAATCAGCCACGTTCGCTTTTGTTTTTAATGCCCGTTTGTGTGAAGAGAAAAAGACGAACATAAGCAACTCGAGCTTTTAACGGTAATGTCTTTCGTTACTAAAATATTTTTTAACGCTACATCAAGACAGAAGAAGATAAAAAATTGAGATGAATGTATGTGAAGGTGTGAATGTGGATGTGATAAGAGCAGAAAACCGTATCCATAGTACACCCTTTTCTCATCAATCTGTTATCAGCCATCATTTTGTTCATTGTTGTCTCTAGACGAAAAAAGCAAAATAAATGCAATAATGCAAAGAATAACTACATGAATTTTCTAAACAAAACAATGGAAACAATATAAACACCTATTACTTTCACCATTTCTCATAATTTTATTCACGATGCCATTGTTCGTAGTTTTGCTTGTGCTTCGGTGTACGAACTTGAGATGGCATTTGTATCTGGCTTTTTCTGCTTATTTCCTCTCCTTAGTTTCATTGGTATCAACATTTATCATTTTTTTTCTCCCGACAAAAATAATCAGAAGAACGAATTAAGTGTCGAAGAAATACATTCAACAGTTTATATGATACTTTGCAACTGTGATATCAGATCAATGCGTTTGACTAAGAATGTGCGCGAATGTAACCATTTTGGTATGCGCACTAAGAGTCAACGAGACATTGACTTCTTTCAAATTATCTTGAATTGTTCTACAGAATGAATGAGATAGGATTTTTTGGGATATTTCGAACTGTGTTACAAAACGTTAAAGCTGATGGCAACAGGAAGCCGCTCTTTTTTGCAACTTACTTGAAATAAAAAACTGTTACGCCGTACTATGATACTTGACGAGACAAGTTTTTTTTTTGCTTATTTGGTCTTTATGTATTAGTCTCTGTAAGGGATCCGATACACTTTGCCATCTTGAGGGTGGGTTTTCACTTCAGTATTACTCATACTCACACCCATACATGCATTTACACCCTCAAAATGGTTTTAACAATATTCCAACGCGTTTTTCAACAACTTTTGTCTGCTTGGGTAACAAGAGAGACAACGCAAAGTCGATATAAAGGTGAAGTGACGCTGAATCAGCAAGCGTTGTGATGATGTTCGCGACGGTTTGAGGGTATGGGTGTGATGTGAATATGGATGTGGATGAGGGTGTGACTGTGAGAGAATACAGAAACACTCTCACACAAACTCACACTCACACCCACACTCTCAAGAATATATTAGATAAAATTCAAATTTCAATTCTGACTAGTCAAAATTACAAATTGGCTGAATTTTAATTTTGCCTACGACATATATATATATATGTATGCATGCATAAATATATAGGTAAAATAACGAGCGAAAGAAAACAGAAGGATTACATAAAAGAGCAAAGAAAATATATGATGTATTCGAACGGTATAGCGCAAAGAAAAATATTGATTTCTGATGAAAAAAACCCAGTAGAAAAAGAGAACAAAAATGATTTACTTCAAAGTATTGGCTGATGCTTGGAAGAGACCAACGGAAGAAAGAGAAAAGAAATATCAAGTAAATAGAACGATGTCATGTATATAAGCTAGGGATTCTATCGAAATCTGATCAGTTGACGATTGTGACAGAACACAATACAATATTCTTCGATGCATTAATCATTTATTGTTTTTTTTCTTCTAATATAAAAAAGAACTGTGAACAGGTTAACCAATAAATTATCAATTTTAAGACATTTCATTTCACAGTAAGTTAAAAAAAACATTAACAATCACAAAATCCTATGTCATTTTGAACAACTTGAGAAAGCGACAACGATATGTACTAAAACAATAAGAAATTCATTTCTGTTTTGCCACTCTATCACAGACTAATTTGTATCGAATTAAATAGTCTGTTTTTTCCTTGATCTGTTTTCAATATTACACTTCCACTTTTTATTATGATCCTAAATAATTGCTTTTGTTTTTTATGTCTTCATTCACAAGAACATTGGACGCACTATCGCGCGTCCTTGAATTCCCCATTACTACTTCATTTGTTGTTTACTCAATAGTTTTGCGTGTTTTTTATCTTTTCTTTTCTTCTTCTTCTTCTTCTTATTATTATTATTATTATTATTACTTTTTTTTCTTTATTTTGGTGTTTTTTGCCGTCTCTACAACACTAACTTCTTCTTTTAGGTACCGAATATATATCGTCGATTAATAGATAGATTACTCCCGTAATTTCTTTGATCAGAGTAACTGAGTTTCTACATTGGTTTCTTCGGTTTTTTTCTCTATCTCTCTTGACTCGTTTATTCTTCCTTTAGTCTGTTATTGTCTACACTTTTCTTTTTTTTAGCTCAAGATAAAAGGCTTATTCATTTATTGTTCTGGCTCATGTCAATTTTTCTTCGAGTTAGTCGGGCGATATCGAAACAAGACAGTAGTTGATAGGAAAGAAGAAGAAATATCATTACAATACTGTGACGTCATCATAATGACTAGTCTGTTTTTCTCTTTCATTGTTGTGTCGTCGTAACTTGATATTTGGTAGGAGATGCACATTGGTAGTTTTTCTTTCTGTGTTTTTCTATCATTAAGCTGGAGATTCTTCTATGCATCATTGCGAGAATGGTATTTCTTTTCTATGCCATCGTTGTTATATTTGTCGAGACGGCGGAGTGTGTTTTTTCTTTCTTTTTCTTCTATCGCTGAGATGGAGGTTCTTTTACGCATCGTAAGGGTGAGAATGAGTATAGCTACTACACTACCAGGTATTTTAATGTTGCTTGAATCTTACCAATGGCACAAGTGTGAGTATAAAGGTCTCAGTATATGAAATATAAGCTTATCGTAGAGATATTGAAATAAAGTAGATATGTTGATGAGTCGTGTGTACGTGGCCTCTGTTGACGATATGCTTTGAGTATCCATAACTCATGAGTCTTTTTTCGAAATGATGTAGCATGTTTAGTACTTTTATACTGAATGATTTTGAAGTTATTATATTGTCGTCTGAAGACAACATTTCAATTTGCTGAACGGCCATTTTTATGACCCAATCGTCTATGAATAATGAGACTTGTCTTATTTCTTTTTCTGCTCTTTCTCGTTTATCAGTTTAATTTTTTACCATCTATCTATCACCTTATTAACATTCGTGTGTCACGGCTGATTGCTCACAGAACCATCTATCTTTCGTCTCTGATCGTCACTTAGAGTAGTTTATAGAGAAAAAATTCACAAGTTTTAGACAGTTTCGTGGACATCGGCCAGTTTAACAGTATAAACCCTTTCACACATGAGTGCAGCATTTCCTAGATGTTAGACCTCGGCGAACTCTTGTCAAAAACTTGTGAATTTTTTCTGTATAAACTGCTCTGATTTAGTTCTCTATTTGAGCAAAGTCTGAGATTCAAAATCAAACTTTCGTTTTTTCGGCTCTGGGGCCTTCCACAGGGGTTTTTAACAGGTTGATATATTGAAAACTTGATAGTTCTGCTCCAACTCAATATCAACTCAAATCCTTTTAAGGTATTTAATAGGTCACTATGTACTATCAAAATATGAGGAAATCCAGGAAATCGGAGAGGGACACCGAGAGATGTTCCCTCGTTAGCCGATATGTACGTAGGTATATGTCGTAGAAAAGATTGAAATTCAGTTTAGATTAAAATCGTCTTGATCTACACTAGTTCAGTTTGAAATCCTCCTAGTTGACGTCAGAATAATTTTGATTTGACCTAGGAGAATTGTAAACTGAACTAATACAGATCAAAACGATTTTAATCTGAACTGATTTCAATGTGTCCTACGATATATATTTATATTTATATAATAGATACACATACATACAGTGGCTGTCAAAATTATCCAACCACCTGCGATGAAAAATCCGTTCTTTTTACATGTCACGTTTCAGATGACATAGATTCTAGAGTTTTTGTTAACTTAATAGATTTGGATGAAAAGCAACAGAGGTCGGCGCGTTACTCGGTGACTCTACTTCATAATGAAATCTAAGTTTTAACCTGTACACTGAATTATGGGTCCGACGCCAGAAACTATCACATGGCCATTCTTATCCTTGGTCTCCATCGTTCTATGTACTGTCCTATGCGTTCTCTTATGCATCTATTTTCTTTCTTCGACTCTGTGGACTTATATCTGTTCATCTCTATATGATGTATTACCCGGTAATAGACTGAGAGTGTGGGTGAGGGTGCGTGTGAACATCGTTATATTTCTTCTCTACACAACTCACACCCTCTGACCTCCGATTCCGACCCCTGGGCATCGATAACTTTACGGAAAGTTTTATCAGAGCGTCAAAAACATGGAAAGTATAAAAGAGCCTTTCTAATTGGGCGACTTTCTGACCTTTGAAAGCTCAGAGGAAAACTTCGACCTCATATTCGAATTCCACATCCTCGATTACCCTTCGTTAAGTTTCTTAGAGAATGCTGAAGAAGATTCCTATTAGTTTACCACAAATTGTTTTCTCATTGGCTTCGCCATACGAACAAACTTATCGTAGATTTAACCGCTATATAATCCTTTCTTTCAGAAACGGAAACAATCCAATAACCTAGTAAAAGAAAATGTCACAGCAAAATCAAATGGAAGAACACGTGGGCGTCGTTGTCGTCATGATGGTCGTCCTTCTTATGATTGGGATGTTTATCAAGTGCTGTTGGCGTCGTGCTGATCCTCGTCGCCCCCATCCTCGTCCTCACTATATGCCGATTCCACATCTTCCAGGTATTTGGGTTGAGCGTGATCCTGCTTATGTTCGTGCTCGTGGTGGTCCTAGCCATATTCAAACTGGTGGTACGGAAATAGCGATTGATCGAGCTTATAAATAACGGTGATGATATAGTGATTAGCGATAGGTGGCGATATATGGAGGATAAGAAACTGATAGTTGGCAGCTTACCTTTTTTTATCAGTGTGTGTTAGCGTCAGTGGTTGTTACTGCATGACGCTATCGTTTCACATATGTATGTACATATATAGGTATTGTCAAGAAATCCGGAAAAAAAATAAATTTGTTAAAGTTGTATTTCTTGTTCTAATTTTTCTGCTTGCAGATTTTATTTTTCCGGATTAATTTTTTTCGGATTCTTTCGTTTCCGGATTTTTATTTTCCGGATTCCTTGACATATTCCATATATACATAGATATATTTATGTTTTTTGTTCCCTTCTTTTCTCTCTCTCTCTCCACATTCATTTTCAGCCACAATAAACATTTTCTTTCCTTCCTGTAGAGTGCGTTTCTTCTCCTGATCGTCATGAGGACATGATGATCTTCCTCTGTTGTCTTTTTTTCATTTTTTGTGTTGGTCATACCAGGCTGTTATTTTCAGTTCTTTGTTTTTCTCTATTTGTGGCTCTATATATAGAATTGTTTTGGGTGTGATTCTCATTTTTTCCGTTTTCTGCCCTTGTCTAACCCCGAATAAACGTGGTTACTACCTCACATCTTTCCCTGAGCACGATAAGTTTAATTTCGTTCTTGAGATCTACAGATCGGCTTGTCCACAGGTAACGCTCTGAGTATAGCTACCATAAACGTCTTCGCATCTGCTAACGATTACCATCAGGATGAATTTATAAAAGAAGTAGATTCAAAGCATCATACGATCGTGATTTCGACAGTTGCTTAGGCTGTCAATCGTCAGGTATGTTAAAAATCTAATAACTACATCAATTAATCAAAACCTATATATGGAAAAAAGTTTTATCTATATAACAGTCAAAAAGAAAACTATCAGCAAGATAAATTTTCAAAGGTTTAACTTGATGTATGATGAAACGTAGTTAATCTATAACGGGTGAATTTACATGGTAAATGGATTGGTTCATAGGTTGATTTGACACCTGGCGGAGTATTTTGGTTTGTGGAAACTAAAATGTAGTAGTATTGTTTCGTCTATTTGTAATCATACCAGTTTTTCGTTGAAAGTTGTTTCTTCGGATACGTAGATGAGAGTAAGCTTGTAATGTATCTGAAAAGAAATGACATATGTAATCAGGAGTGGCGCGACCGGGGGGGGGGGGTGTCGGGGTGTAACATCCCCCCAATCTTTGAAAATTTCTATTTTTTGCTCAACAAAATCGGCAAATTTTCTTAATTTTTTTGAACAAAGATCATGCTACACCTCCTAAAAATCAAAAAATTTCGCTACACTCCCCAAAAATTCAAAAAATTTTCGTTACAGCCCCCTCCCCTCAATGTTGGCTGACTCGTGCCACCCCTGTATGTAATATATGATTTATTGTAAGCAAAAAGGTTTTTATAATATTATGAAGCAAGTATATATGTGTGAAATTGATTAATCGAGAGAGAAATGGCAGAAAATTTAAGGTAGAGCAGAATTTATTTTAAAGTACATCAAATTGAAACTGAAAAATGTCACTGTGAACTCAAGTTTTAGATATTTCGATTTTTGTGAGTATTTGTTTTGATGGTTTCTTCCGGATGAGGCATTGTTCAAGTGTCTGATTTGTATTTCCCGCTATTCGAATTCGGACATTATCGAGTGATAGTCCTGTATGTTTGAAATATTCTTTCAACCACTTGTAACATGCTTTGGGAAAATGTATTCCCTCGACTGGAAGGAGGGTCATGTCGAAAAAACGTGATCATAAAACGGAAATGCGTTTGTGTGTGTGTGTTTGTGTGTCTGTCTGAGGGTGAGAATAGCTACCATCATATACAGATTTCATCCTGGCTAAAGGAATCATCAGATGGCAAATGAAATTGGATGTGGGTGGGTGTGGGTGGGAGGTGTGCTGAGGGTGTGGGTGTGATTAAGGCATAGCTTTAGAATCAATACAACACTCACACCTATCCACACCCAACAATATATAGGTTTAAAAAGAAAAATACTTCATTGGATTTCTTCGATTATAATAACAGATGAAAGAATGTATTTAGCGTTGATAAACGAAATTATATTTCGAGTTAATGTACAACAAAAATCATAAAATTCAATTTATATATTTTCATGAAATTAATTTGATACCATCGAAGAATCCTCACTATGAAGTGGATCAAAAACAAACGTCAGGAACGTCATTAGTAATAAAAAGGACGACTTTTTCTGCATATAATTCATTATTATTCTATAAACAAAAAAAAGTGAATATCTATTGTCAAAAATCAGTAGACCTTACTAACATTATTACGTTATATTTTGTAATAGTTTTGAATAAAAATCATTTTATTACAGTAGCAAATGACAGAAGAGAATAGATACTGAAACAAAGATTAATATCGTATTGAAATAGTAAATAACATGACGGTATGATGGATTTAATAGAATAGTTCTCTTTATGAATTGACAAGTATATTTTTAATAAAGATTTTTTTCATTTTCTTCTATTATCTTCTTGTACATAGTTCTATCGGAATTACAAGATAAATATCAACCAAGTCTAGTGACTATAGTCAAATCATTATTATTTTTCTTTCTAAATTTAACTATGTAAATTCATTATTTTTAAGCTTTCAGCATGATCAAACGTTTTGCTTGACATAAAAAGTATTAATTCTTGTGTCAAGAGATGTCGCTAACTACTGATATATGTTTATTTCCTTTTTCTTTTCATTGTTTTCAATTGGTTTGTCAATGCTTCCAGTGTTTTATTTTATTTTGATGTTTCTCTAATTGCTTTCCATCCTACAAAATCCTTCACTCATATAATATTCAATCAGAGATCATCATTTCACTGTTTCATATTTGATTATTATTATCAAATATGCATGCACATTTTGCACAACCAATACAGGTTTGTTATTATTTTATTTTTATGATTTAATCATTGACACTTATTTTATTCTTTTTTTTAAAGGCAGCTGCAGCAGTAAGATATAACTTTATTTTTATTTAAAAAAAAATTTAATCTTATAATTAGGCAGCTGTAGCAGCAGCAATGGCTGTATCAAATACATCATCCACTTCATCAACATCTGAACCACATGCATCAACACCTATACATCATACAGCAACAAAAACCGAATGGATGGAAGCTATTGAACAACAACGTTTAGAAAGATCAACACTAAATCGATTGATTATTAATTATCTTGTCACTGGTACCAAATAAAAATTTTTAAATATTTTAATTCTTTTTATTTTGTATATTGTAGAGGGATTTAAAGAAGCAGCAGAAAAATTTGCTGAAGAAGCTGGAATATCATTAAGTAATGTAGATTTAACATCACTCGATGAACGTTTAAGAATTCGTGAAGCAATTGAAAGTGGAAGAATTCAAGAAGCAATTAATTTAATTAATACAAAAGCACCTGAATTACTTGATCAAAATCGACAATTAGCATTCCATTTAAAGGTAATCATTTCGCAAAGATAGTATCAGTTAATTTTATTTAGATTGTTTCTAATTTAGCAACAACATTTAATAGAATTGATACGTTCAAATTTAATTGATGAAGCATTAACCTATGCTCAAATTCATTTAGCTGAATTTGCTGAAGAAGAAATTAAAATGCGTCAAGAATTAGAAAAAACTATGGCATTACTTGTCTTTGATAAACCATTAGAATCTCCATATGGTTATTTAATGCAAATATCACATCGACAACAAGTTGCTAATGAAATCAATAGTGCATTACTTATTTATCAAAATGATGAATCCGAATCAGATTTATCAATGTTAGTTCGAATGGCAACTTATATGCAAGAAAAATTAGACAATAAACAATTACGTTATCCTAAATTGGTTGATATTGCTAGTGGAAAATTAGATGACTCTTAAATCTTTTTCTTTTCTCGTCTTTTTTTAAAATGTATATGTTCGTTTGATAATTGTTTCAAAGAAACATCAACAAAGATAAAAATATATAAATAAAGTTCAAAATTTTATTAAAATAAAAATAGAAGATTGAATCTCAAAATAACATTTTTAGATGACATTTGATTGGACAACGAAAGAAAAAATTGTTTTATTATCTGATATACTTGAATATGGTGATCAAGTAGAAAGTTGGTCAACTATTTCCAATGATCTTTCACGAACATTTCCAACAAATACTATTTTATCTCAATCAAAAAGAGATGGACGTTATTCAATTAAAGTTAGTGTTTGTTTTTTTTCTTTGTTTATTCTTTTCTTTTTAAAATAGAATTGTAAACAACAATATCAACATCTTGTTGAACGTTATAAATCTCAATGGACGGAAAATGATTCATCAAATGGTTTAAAAATACCTTTAGCTAAATATATTTGGATACAATTAAAATCTATTTATCAAGCTGAATTAACATATCAATTGAATGAAAGTAGAAAAAAATTAACAGAATTTTGGCTTGAAGTTACAACAGCTATTAATATTAAATCTAATAATACAGTTGAACCAACACCTCCGTTAGTTTATTAATAAAATTATAAGAACAAAATTTTAACAATGCTCTTTTCCTCATATATTTAGATTGTTAACAACAGAAATTACAACACCTGTTACAATTACTCAAGAGAATGAACCACAAGAAGATAAACCCTCAACAATAGAAATTATTTCTCAAGTAAACAAAATTAAGAACTTTCATCAGTATCAAATAATTTATATTTCATTTATTCTAGGTGCCTAAAATAGAACCAGATATACCACAAAATGAACCCATTCAATCAACTTCACCTAGTGAAGAAATACACCCCGGTAAACATTTCATTTTTTTTAATTGTTAAAATGTTTCATGTTATCAATTGTAGCTTCAGTAATATTCGACAATCCTAAAGAAGAAAGTCCAACTGTTACCGATATAATTGCTGATCAACCTCAAATAAAAGAAGAACCACATATTGAAATTCCTACTGATATTATTCTTAATGATATAGATCAACAACCAGCATCTTCAATCTCACTTGATTCAAAACAAAATCTTTCTCTAATTGAACAAGATATTTCGCAACCATTACCGATGGATTGTTCTTCACCTAATATAATATCCGATCAACAATCATCAACATCTCAATCAACAATAATTTCTGTTCCTCCTCAGAATCCTTCAATACAACCAGATTCAGCTTCATCATCTCGATCAACATCAAGAACAAGCTCTGAAACAAAAACGGACGTTATTAAAGTAAAAAAAAAAACAAATTGTATTTCTTTCACTTAATCGAACTATTTTTATTCGCTTATAGATTATTCCAACGACAACACCAAAATATCATGTATATTTTTCTCCAAAAAATTCTATTAATAATAATAATGTTAACAATCCACCAGCACCACTAACAACAACAACGACAACAACACCAATAAATAAACCTAAACCAAAACGAAAAATAACTGATGATATTAAAGATGAAAATGAAAATGAATCAATAAGTCAACAAGATCCTCTATCTTTATCAACAGAACAATCAAAATTAGTTTCATCTACTGCTCCAATAACTCGTCGTTCAATAAATACACGTTCAGTACCAAATACAGCTGCTGAACAAGAAGAAGAAAAATCTAGACGGTAAAATTTCTCAATAAAACAAATACTAAATTACTTTTATATTTATTTAGATTCTCAGCAATGCTTTCAGAAAATCCTAATAGTTGGCAATCACAATCAATGGCTATTATTCAATTTATTCTTGCACACAAGTAATTTAAAAAACAAAACAGAATTTTATTTTTTTTTTGTAATTCTATTTTTAATAATTATAATTAGACAAGGATATTTATTTGAACAAGAAATAACAGATGAAATAGCACCAAAATATCATCAATTCGTTCGACGTCCAATTGCTCTTGATACAATTCGAAAAACACTTGAATCTAATGAATATCAATCAAAAGATTATTTTAAACGTGATGTTTATCTAATGTTATACAATGCAATGAAATATAATCCACGGTATCATCATGTACATCGATCAGCTAAACAAATTTTTAATCTCGCAGTTCCACTTTTTTATGTAAATACTCTATTTTTGTTTTTCTTCTTTTCAAAAACGTTTTTTTTTCTAAATTAGTTATCAGCACAAGATATTCATGGACAAATAACAACAAGAAATAGTTTATCATTACCGACTACTACTGCCACTACTACTACTACTACTATGACAAATGATATGTCATCTGTTAAACGTAAACGAATAAAAGTATAGTTTTTCTAATTAGTTTACAAAAACAAAAAATAAGAAATTTATTTGATTTTTGTTTTAGTGATGAATGATGTTTATGAACTTATTTGTTGAAATGACAAATAAAATCAATCTTAGTCTTGCGTTATGAAATTTATTTTCTGTTTAGAATGATATAAATAAACTATTGAAGCATAGAATTCTTTTTTTGAATGATGTTTTGTATAATATAAAAATAATGAAACTGTTCAATAGAATCATATCAAATCTTTTGTTACATATTTTAATTCATGTAAAACAAGGATAATCAGATGAAATGTTAACTTTCAACGATATATTTAAACGATTCTAAGAATATTAATTGAAAAATGAATACTATTTTATAAATTGATGTATATTTTATCTTCTGTTTGAATTATATAGTACAGATATGTTTCAGAAGTTGCTATTAAATCTTAAACACAAATACAGTGACAGAATGATGTTATTTGATATGATTAATAAAATGTTTTGTGTGCTTTATTATATTTTTTAAATTTGCGAGATTGACTTATCGTAAAAACAGGAACTAAACAAGAGAAGAACAGCACGTAACATTATTTACGATTCTGACTAGTTAAAAAGAAAAATTTGTTATTAACAATTTATTTCTTCAATTTTCAACCAGATTGTGTTGTCCTCTAATGTATACTTATGATAAGACTCAAGTAGTATGGCGTAAGCATGATGATATCAGAACAATATTTTTTTTCTTATATCAATATTTTATGAATCATTTTTTATGTGATAAGGATCATTTTTCTCGTATTTAACATCATTTACACGCACAGCTTCGCCGTTAGTTGTTTCGAGAAAAAATCTCACAATGTCGTATCCTGGTCAACCTAATTATTGTCCACCACCACCACCTTATGGAGGAAATCCGGGCTACTGTCCACCACCTCCACAATTTGGTGGAAATCCAGGTTATTGTCCACCACCTCCACCGACTGTTATAATGCAAGCAACTGGTAATTGCCCATCATGTCGAGTAAGTTCATTATATTTTATATTAAAAAAAAACGTTTTTTTTTTCGTTTATTTTAGATGGGTTTTTTATCATCTCATGTTACTTGTTTGGGTGTTTTCTGTGCTATTGTTCTATTTCCCATTGGTCTTATTTGTTTATTTGCAATGCAAGAACAAAGATGTTCACACTGTGGATTTTGTTCCTAAATCATTAATATGAAGAAAAATCATCAGAATTGCTTATTTTATGATCGTTTCATAAGAATCTGTATTGTATGAATAATAATGAAAAAAAAATATTGTTTATTAAAAATAACTTATATCTTACTATATAAATTTTTGAATGTACTTCGTATAATCGATTGATAGATTTTTCAAACAAGAAGTTTCTATTAAAAATTGTTTTGTAACAGTGATATCTATATTTTATCTATCCTGGCTGTTATCAAATGAAACAGGGTTGACATATAACCTGAAGTTTAGAGCAATATCTAGTGCCTGCTGTTTTAATTACAATAATATATTTAAAATGGATATAGAAGAAAATTCTAAGAAAACATAAAATAGTTTATATTATATATGTTATAAGGTTCATCCAATATTTTCGTTTATTATTTTCATCATCATGTCTCCAAGTATAATGTATATATGTATATCTCGTAAAACAGAAGTAATAATTAACAACAAGACCAAAACACAGAAGAACTGTTTTGGTAAGAGGGCAAAAAAAGACCACATAGATATCATCACCTAAATCCTAATCACATGAAATACAAAGAAAGAAAGAAAGAGAAAAAAATGAAAGAAAAAGTACTGAATAGAAAAACAAAACAAAACAAAAAAAGTAATATCATTTTTCAACTCTATTTTGTTTTCAAGAACTAAATACACAATATAAGATAATATAAAAGTATTATTTACATAAGAAATTTTTATTTTTTTCATTCCTATAGATAATATCGATGATAATTATTTGTTGTTGTTGTTGATCGTGTTGGTGTTGCTGAAAGTGATGAAAAACTTGATAAATGTTGTCGACGAGCTGTAGGTGGTGTTGAAAAACCTAATGGTTGTTGATGAGTATTTGCTAGACGTGGCGTTCGATTATTTGAAGTATTTGTTTTCCTAAAAATAATTTTATTAAAAATATAAATGGTATTTTTATTTTATTTCTTACCAATTTGAACCCGACGATGATTGTTCTTTTGTTGATCCAGGTGTTTTTTGTTTTGGTTTAGCAAAATTAACCTAAAATATATATTTATTAAAATACAAAAAAATCTTCTTTTTTTGTTTTCCTTACAACTAATCGTCGTCCATCAACAATTTCTCTATCCATTCGTTTTTTAGCTTCAAGTGCATCTTTTTTTGCAAGAAATGTAACAAAACCAAATCCTTTTGAACCACGTTCATTATAAACAACTTCAACATCAAATGTTGTTCCATATTTCTATTTAGAAAAGAAAATATTTAAATTTACAAAAAAAAACAAATACATACTCCAAAAATTTCAGCTAATTTTTCTTTTGACCATGTAAATGGAATATTTGATACATGTAAACGTAATGTACCATCATCATCATCATCTTCATCAAATATAGCTAGTGATGGTGACGATGGAGTATTCTATGTAAAGAAAAAATATTAAAATTTAAAATTTCTTTAAATATCTAATTACAATTGAAGTTGGTGATGGACGTTGAATTGGTGTTATTGGTTGTTTTTCATGTTTGGTTAATCGAGAATGTACTCGATTTTGTAGTTTTTCAAACCAATTTTCTGTTTTATTTGCACAACGACAACATTTCTAAAAATATTTTATATATGAGAAAATCAGAATAATAATATGAAAATAATTTACACATGGTTGATGTTGTGATGAAGAAGATAGATTTGATGGCCATGATGATTTATCAAGTTCAATATTAGCAAATGTAGATGAAAGTGACCAACCAACAGGTGGTAATGGTAGTGATGGTAGTATTGGTGAATCTGAATCTGTTGAACGAGTTGGTGTTGGAGAAAATAAACTTTGCACTGGCGATCGAGAGCACGTTGATTGAGACGATGACCACAAATCACCATCCTAAATTAAATTTAATATATTATTTTAATTATCAACAATAAAAGAAAAGAATTTCTACAGCAAAGCTCGAACAGTAGCGCGAAATATCAATAAGAGTTGTTGATGAAGTAGTTTCTTCCATGAAATTCGATTTGCCCAAACACAATAAGTTGGATGTTTTTTTTTCGTCGTTTTGTGTTACTACAACTTCGACGGTGATGGAAAATGTTTATACATATATACATATCGTCCGACGAGAACACTGAACAGATGAATTATGTACCCTCTCAAGAGAAACGAAAGGAAAAAGAATATCCAGGCATTAACAGTTGTCTATACTATCGACAGTTATCGATTATCTTCTTATTTATAAAATTTTCTTTAAATGAATCATAATCGATAAATTAAAATAGAAAATTTAATTTTTATTTATTATTCAATTATATTGATTAATTTGAGTTTTCTGCTTTGTATATAATAATGAATAAATATAGGAAGAAAGAAAAAATAAGTGTCATGTGTCGCTTATTGAAACTGTAAAAGAATTCCGTTAGCAACTCAATAAACATTGGCGTGTGATCAAACTTTTCTTTTTTTTCTGTTCTTTCTATTCTAAACATCACAAAAGTAAAAGAAAAATTTTGAAATGGCAGCAAAACCAAGTTCAAGAAAAAGTTCTGTTACACGTGACAATAGTAATCATTCAAGTTTAGGTGGTCTTATACCAATAAGTAGTCCAACACCACATTCTCAAGATACACAAAGTAATAAACAAAATGATGATATAGGTGTATCGAATCCTAATATATATGTTGTACAACCATTTAAACAAAGATCAAAACCAAAAGATCTTGTTTATTCGAAAAAAGTATTTTCAATATTAATTTAAAAAAACTAAAATTTCATATATATAAATCTATTTAGAATGCACCTAATCCTGGTGAAAAATTATTAAATTCTACAATAGAATTAATTAATCATTTTACTGTTTGTTATGAAGCAGTAAAAGAACAATTACAAAATGAACAAATCAAACAAACTGATCATCAATCAACGAATAATAAATCAATGGTAGTTGGAACAAGAAATAAAAATAATAAAACAAATAATCAACAACGACCAGCAAAACAAGCAAGGTGAATTTTATTGAATATAAAAAAAAAGATATAATTTTCATTTGTTTAATTAGACTTCGGCCATTAATTCTTCATGAAGATCAATATGATCAGAGAAATAATCAACAATTATTTATTGGAGATTCTAGTGGAATGTTATCAGGTAATTAATTAAAAAAATTTCGTTTGATTAAAGTATCTATCTTTTATTGTTGTAGAATCTGAAACAAATGATATTGATCTTTCTGAAGTTTACAATGAAAAACTTCGTTTATTACGAAAATTAAAACCTGAATTTTTTGATTATGAAGGAAATCTTATATCTCGAAAGGGTTCAACATCACAATCATTAATTGAATCATCTTTAAAAAAGTAAAAGTCTACTAATTCGATATTAATTATTTCTTTCTTTTTTTCAATTTAATTAGATCAACTATGTCATCATTTAGAATTTCACAAAATCCTTATTTAAAAAAAGAAAGTAAAATATAAATTATGTGAAGATATTTTTTTATTCTTCTGAATTATAAATTTAATTTAGATGATCAAGAAACATTTTTAACTGAACTATTGAAACGAGGAGAAAACGAAGAAAAATGTTTATCTTTAGTTTCAACTGAACAAACAAGTTCAATTAATGAAATGATGAAAGATAATTATATACTTAAAGTTATTGATATTAAAACAAAAAAATCCAGACCAAATTCAAAATGTGATTCAATTAAATCATTATCATTATCTGATAAAGAAAATCTTTTTTTAAAAAAAGAAAATACAAACAATTGATTAATAAATATTAGATTTGATAAATCTTCCAAATTCTTGTACTTTTATTATCTTATTTTATTTAAATAAATAAAAAAAATTTACTCTAAAATAACTATATACTATTTGTTAGAGATAAGCAACAGTAAGATATCAAAGTTGATGCATTACCGATAACCAACGTCTCTTTTCTTATTCTATGTGAGTGGTTCTTAGACGTTTTCTTTACAAGATGTACGACCATCTTTTGTTAATTCCTATTCTCGGTATTTGTTTATCATTCATAAATTCTTACAAGATTAACTCTTTAACGGACGATGGGACATATATGTGCCACTTTTTTTCTTTTCGATCATAAGATTACGGTGAAGTAAGAACAACTATTTTGATATAAAATACTATGATACTGCATGGATTGAGTATATCTATGAGTGGGTGAGTGTAGGTGTCGGTGTTACTGTAAATAACATGGTAAAACCCACACCCACACCCTCAAGAAGCAGCTGAACCAACAAAAATATTGCGCGGTTTTGAACGAGTTTATTTATCAGCAGGTGAATCAAGAACAATTACTTTAGCATTAGCACAACGTGATATTTCATATTGGAATGTGATAAAGCAAAAATGGACTATTGCTTCAGGAATATATACAGTTTGGATATCAACATCTGCTAATAATGCCGACATTAAACTTCAAGATTCTTTTGAAATTTAAATAGCTATTAAAATAAATAAATAAATAGATTTCCTTAGTCTGTTAGAATAAAAATGTATGCTTTAAACATCATCACTCATGTACTATATAATCGCATGAAAATATTCTATGAAGTATTTTTTTATCTTGTTATATGTAAACACACGAGTACCTTCTTCTTGATATATGGCGATCATTCAGATGATGAAACGTTTAGAAATTCATATATTGATTACACTGTTATTTGACTGAATATACTTCAAGATTAATTAAATAATATTGACAGAATTAATTTCTCATTTATAAGAAGTTCATCTTGTTTGAGAAATTATGACAACCAATAAAGATTAAGTTCCTCATATATGTTTTCTTTACTAGAATTAATCAATTTTTGTTTGATAAATAACACGCTATTTAACAAGAATAATATATTGATCCAAAAAAAACTGATCATCTATACGTATAATCAAATACTAAATAGACTCATGTTGTTTCAAATGTTCTTGATACAGACACTTATTACAATTAAATAACAAACGATAATAAAAATATTTCGAAAATCGTATTTCCAGATTAAGTTGCCTTCAAAAAGATTATTTTTCTTATATTCTTACAGCTACATAGTTATTTATAAATCATCGACCCCTGGAATCTTACAAACTATTTCAATTCATATAAAAAAAGAAGATGATAAACATATATGACCATGGTTTTTCTTTATTGGTCTTTTTGATGACTACTTGGATCCTGTCAGTACATAGAATAGATAGAAGTGAAAGGAAAGGAGAAGCGCATAAGAGATAAAGAAATATATACGCATAAATAAGAAGGACAAAGAAGAAAACATGAAACGATATTTGGCGTGTCCTCAAACGAATAACAGAATGATCACAACATATAACAAATTACAATAGCTTTTTAATGGTTATTACGAGCAACTTATTATGATGGTAAGATGTTTAAAAAATTCATTTTCAATAGGACTATTGGGATATCCAGCAGCATGGTGATCCGGAGGCCACCAGTTCCTCGCGAATACAAATGATAAAGAGGTTTATAGATATAGTCTATCTACAATGAGTTTTCTTAATCTAATTGTCGTCTTATCCTTTAGGTTGAGACAAACTCATATTTTCGTATAAAAGGTTGCAATGAGATAAGATTAATATCAGTTCTATGGTGTAGCAGGGTAAGCACTTTAGACTCTAAATCTAACAACCCCAGTTCAACTCTAGGTAGAAGCTGATTTCTTTTTTTTATTTTAGGAACTTCGTTATTTAAATAACAGTAATAAGTAAAAAAATAGTAGAAAAAAGTAATAATAGTAATAAGAAAGAAACAGAAAAAGTTATAACGGTAGTAAAAAAAAGAGAAGAAAAACTATAACAGTAACGAGAAAAAACAGAAGAAAAAATGGATAAAACAGAGGAGAGTAAAAAATAAGAAGAAGATTAAATTGCCTTTTTTTTGGAAAGTGGAATCTGATTCGTCAGGACTGGATCATCTGAACGAATCCGTTTGTTCACGATCTATAAGCAAAGAAGAGGCAAATTGATTAGGTGCTAGGACAAAAAAAGTGGTGAAGCTTACCCGGTCATTGACTTGATCATCGGTGGTTGCTGAAAGTAAGTCGAAGCCGTCAGCCAATATAACACCAAGTTCAAGACGGAATTCAATTACCTTGAACACCATTTCTACCAAAAGGCACCCAGGTTCGCAAGAGTTGGGTCCACGAGCCGATCTTCTCGTGGAAGTTCAGAGGAAGGGTGGAGAAAAGCCAGTAACAATCGTCATCGAGGCTTAAGGTTAGTAATCTACCTAAAATAATTTCCTATCTATACATATTTCTTTCTGTTCACAGGTACCCAACATCGGCCTCTTCTTCAACAACATCTGGAAAACGTCGAGAAGCAGTATAGCTCGGACATTTGTTTAAAAGCTATAGAAGAAGATTTTGTATAAATGTTCGATAAACCTTTTTTCATAGGAAAATTTTGACTCACCTTCGCAGCTTGAATCGCAGGGTCAGTGTTGTTTGCCTCCCTAAACATGGTTGCATGTATGGTATTTGTAACCAATACACAGCCGTTCATTTTTCACCATGCTGGACACCAACAGTAAAAGATTTAAAATAAGAAGATGATCTGGTGTCAATTGCTATTTTTACACGAGTATAAATAGTTTGTGTTAGATAGCACTATAACAGTTTCTTTTTTCTTTCGTAATTCATCGTTCGTTGTATACACACGCTGTGTTTTCTTCTTTCCATGCTTTTCTACTAGTCTATATGGACGTCTGTCTTTTCTACCAGTTATATCCACCCTTGTATATCTAAACCGATCTTTTACTCTTTCTCAGTACCTTCTTCTCTCTTTGTATTTTATTTTCTACCTCGATGTATTTCTTGTCTTCTCTCTCTAATCTTGATTTTTCTTCTCAAAACCGAATGAAAATTAATTAAGTCTTTGGTTTTTAGTATTGAAAATAATCAATGAATTTTTATTTTCTTAGATTAATTGGTCAATTTAATCCTGTAAGTCATGAATGGAGTGATGGTGTTTTAGCTGTTAATTATCGAAAGTTTGTGGTATCAACAACACCTGATCGTGAATGGTTATTATTTGATGATAAAAATATATGTTTTCTTGAAAATATATACTCTTTTATTTCTCTAGATACCACAGGTTGAACAATCCGGCACGGAAACGGCCGGTTCCCTGGTATTCCGGAGATTTCATGGAAGCAGTGTTTCCGTTGAACGCATCCAGTGGCCGGATTTATCTGGTTTGGGCCGGAACCGATAGGAACATGTCAAAACCGGTAGCCGGATACGGTTACCTCACTTATCCATCGGATTTCTGGCATTATCCGAGCGGGTTCCGCCTAGGAATGGCGAGTTTCCTCACGGATTTTGTCGGAAATTCATGGAATCCTACTTCAGGAACCATCGTCCTGGAAGATTTCTTCTACATTTAGTCTTCTTAAATCTAAAATATCGATAAATAATTTTTATTTAAATGTATAAAATATTTTTACGTGCCCAATTTAAAAATTTCTGTAACATATATGATAAAATTTGTTGATTTTCAATTGGATTTTGTTCAACATGATGAAAACCATCATTAATTATTGAAAGAAACATATTTAAACATACAAAGATAACAATAATAATAAAAAGTGAACAACTAAATGAACCAAGAAATGGATCCGCTCCAGTAAAATCGCTTGCATCAAAATTCATTAATGTGATTTCAAATAACATTTGAGTTGTTGATAATCAACTCGAGCATGATGCAATACTTGAAGTAAGTAATAAATAAAATAATCAAAGAAAAGATATAATACAATTGAAAACAAAATAAGTTCTTTTGTAACATATTTAAGCGTTTGAACAAATACTATTAATGATTTATTAAAACGAATAAATTTAATTGTTTCAGAAAAACAACAAAAACCAAAAACAGATGTTAAAACATATAGAAAGTATAGGAAATGAAGCATTCACTATGTCTGTTCATCTTTCATACTTAAGTTATTATTATGAATTTCAAAGAAATCTATCAAATACTGTTTTATAATTCTACTTTAAAATGAAATAGTTATAAATTAATGTTTATCTCACGATGATATATCGTCAAAGATTGATAAAGTTAAAAGTTAACTTTTCTAGATGTCGTATAACATATAAATCTTATCGTTTTTTTTTTATAAAAGCCACTCATTAAATTCTAACGACTTTAAATATTCTGTTTTTCACAAACGAGAAGTTTATAAGAAATATATTATTGTTATAGCCACGTGTTGATACTACATGTTCGATTAAATTAAAAACAATAAAGGGCATAGTAACATTTTTTTCTTCTTTTCTCGTTTATTTATTTGCATTTCTCCATCAACAATATGCGTTCTATTTATTTCTAGTGTAGATATAAAATAAATCTCGTGTTTATACTTCATTTTTCTTACACAAAAGATCTGTATCACAATATGTTTTTGGACATAGACACTCAATTACAAATTTATGAAACTGAACTTAGAAATGATCATATTTCATTTAATGATAAATTGAATTTAACTCGTACAAGTTTCTTTGATAATATTAATCGATTAATAAAACAATTAAATGATGTAAAACAAGAATATGAAGATAAATTTCAATATCTTGAACATGAAAATAAAAAAACATGTGATGAAAATCAACAACAATTTAATAATTTAAATTATTTTCTAAAAACTTTGGAAAATAATCAAGAAAACATTTTAAGAAAATTTAATGAATTTAAAGGAACATTTCCAATGAGACCAAATATGTTAAAAAATATTCCTGAATTTAATTTCCAAGATATGCAAATTGATTATTTTATTAAACAAAAATTACCAACAAATCATACAGAAAAAATTATTAATAATGATAAGTCAGTTGAACAATGCATATTAATACAAAAGTGAATTACTTTCTTTTTAGTGAATCAATTCTAAAAGTTGATCGTGGTTCATCTCCAATTATTTTTCATGAACAATTATTAATTGAACAAGATCAATCTTCAAATTCTAATCAAAAGTAGTTTAATATTTATTTTTCTGTATGTAATTCTATTGTTTATAGTTTATTAAATCATGATCAAATACTACCTGAAACATCGTCTTTATGTGTTCCAATGACTTCGATAATTCAGTAAATTTATTTTCTTTCCCGTATTTGTACAGATTTTATTTTTATATAGAAATAATCCAACGATGACAACAACAACAACATTAGAATTACCTTCACGTCCTGTTTCAAGAAATAGAGAAGTTAAGAATATGGTTAATACTTCGTTTAGAATTCCTTATGAAAGTAATCGTCATTCACGATTAATGGCTTATAATATCCATGAACATTCATTACTTATTTATTCATTGACATCACATAAATTAGAATATTTATCAATTCAAACACGTGAAATAAATTCTATTGATTTACCTTTTAAAGAACCATTAATTAATTTGGATTATTCTATAAACCATGGTTGTTTCTATTTAATTAGTAAACATACACATTATTTTTGTTTCTTTCATTTAAATGAACAAAAAATAGAAATTGATCAACAATTTGAATTAACTCATGAAAATAATAAAATCAATTCTATTATAAATGGACATATTTATGAGAATAATTTATTTTTTTTATATACTTTATCATCAAAAGATATTCATTTTGGAAGATATAATTTCGATGAATCGATTTTCTTTCCATCAATACAATTTAAAAATATTCTTCATGATGATTATGAACAATTAACTTATGATATTATTGATTTTACTGTTAATAATACATTTATTATTTTCTTAACTCAAATAAAAAAATCCAATCGATATATGCTTATTATAAATGATCATGATATTAATCAAATTTCTTCATTTGATTTAGTTGATGCTAAACAACCATTATCAATTATTTCAATAATTAAGTAATATTCATTTTCTTTCTTGTTTTTATTTTGTTACGTTTGTTTTCTAAATTTATATAGACCATCGGAATCGGCTAGCTCTTATGGTGAAAGTCAATTATTATTATTTATAAATGATCCAAAAAGTCATTTTATTCATTGTTGTACTTATGAACGATATGTAATATCAATTGAAGTTAATAGTTTTGGTATATGTTCATTAAATGATGGAAATTTAGCGATAGTTAGCAATCAGGATATTCGTGCTTTAAAAGTACAAGAGTATCTTGAAAAAAATCATATTCAAATTGAATAAAAACATAAGATTTTTTATTTTTTATATCAATAAACTATTCATTGAATCAAATCATGGCTGGAAGCTATAACACTTACGAACTAAAGAAATGTAGTCAAATCATCATAATCTGATATTATAATAGATTTGATCAATGGTGTGAGTTACGAATAGAATATACTGTAATGATCCTACTTGAAATAAAAGACATTGAAATCTATATTATTTTTGAAATTTTCTTTTATATAAGATATTAGGTAATCAATAATTGATTCTATCAGCAGGAGATTTAGATATATATATTCTTTTTTCTATTCAAAGCTTCCTATCAATTGACCAGTAAAGTTAAAATTTATTCATTCTCTTTTCAAATCTTTTGATCTCTCTCTCTCTCTCTTTGAATAACAATGAGAAAGTAATTTTAGTATTGATGATTACTTCAAATATTCGATTATCATGTTTGGTTTTGTTACAGCTAGAAATAAACAATTCAAATTATCACGAAATACACAACATCGATTTTTATATCGTCAAAAAAAAGAAAGTTCGCAAATGATTTATCAATTCATGCTCTTCGTTTTTTCATATTTTTGAATATTTTAGAAATTCATCATTGGATTGTATTCATTAAACTGATCTATATTACAATCTTTATTTGTTTTACAATAGCTCTATGTCTGAATCAAGCGATTCATTATTCAATTCGAGTTGAAGATATATGGTTTTCATTTTTATCACTTATTCTTATTTTATCATTATTTATTGATAATTTAAAACGACAAAATATATTTCCATTGAAATTAATCTATATTATACAACTCCTGTTGATTATTAGTTTAATTAGTTTTATAATTCTGGGTATGATTTTAAAAAATGATGAATCGATTTGTACATGTATAATATATATTTATAGGTCATATTCAAGCTTACTATTACTTATGGTGGCCGACATCATCATCTATGGAATTAACATATTTAACACTTTTTTCAATTATTTTTATTGATCTATGTCCAATATCAATTGCCGTTATAATTATAATTAATTCATCGAAAAAACCTCGATCATGGCGTTGTGTTTATACTAGTAGTATTATTTCAAATGTTTAGAATCTTAATAGAAATGATTTACATTTAATTCTCAGATTTATTTATCTGAGGACAACAAAGAAATAAACAAGAACTCTTTCAATACAACTATCATAAATTCATTAAAATTTAATTTAAAAAAAAATTTTTTTCGAATGAATTGTAATTTTCTTCAAACGAACATCAATTTTAATATTAAGTAAACAGAAAAAATAACACAATACATGACAACATATTAAATGAGATACATATATAGATATAGATATACATATTTATTCGTTAACTAACGCTTCTTTTTCGTTAGATCGATTATGACTTTTACGTTCTCGTCTTGCATTCTATCAAAAAAAGAAAAAACAAATCAAATTAAATTTATTTCTATAATAAAATATTTCAAAAAATTAACCTTTGATGATGGTGGACTAATTGTCATTTCATTCGATGTATCATGTTCAGTCGAATCATCATTACATCGATGACATGTCCATCCATAATTACGTCGTTTAGGAAAAGAGGATAAAGGTGGAACACAACAAGCATAATGATAAAAACTTTTGCATTTATCACAACTAGAAAATATAAGATATTGTTTTTTGTTTTTAAAATTGAAATTAAAAATGTACTCAGTCATTGTTTGATTTGTTCCTGAATTTGAACATTCTTTACATCGAGCATCTGACGGAACATTATTTTGAATTGTTACTGCTGAACGTCGATTTGGCTTTTTAACTTCTTTTTTTGGTTTTTCAATTTCTTTTTCATTATTCTCATCATCATTACTCAATGTTATTGATGAACGAAGTTCAACAGTACCATTTGCATTTTCTTCATCATCATCAAAATCAAATATTGACATTGGATCTTTCATTGTTTTACGTTTTTTCTTTTCAGGTTTTGTCATTGGAAGTGATGCAGCTTTTTGTTTAAATATTGTTGGAGTTCGACGTTCAATAATTAATGATTTTGATCGAGCTGGAGTTGCTGATGAATCTAAACAAACATTAATATTAATCAATATTCAGTTTTTTATTCGTATTTACTATTAGATTTTGGTACTGATGGTTTCTTGATTGATATTCGTGGAGACTTTTGATTAGGAGACCTAAATGAAAGAATATATACAAATGAAAATAATATGTTTAATGAAAATATTATTAACCTTTTTTTTGTTGATGAAGACGATCGTTTTGGAGTTGGTTCTGGAGTAAAATCTGTTGTTTTTCTAGTAAATAATTTTTTAATAACCGATGTTCGACTTTTACTCGTACTTGGTTTTTCATTATCATCTTGTTTTTGACTAATTATTTCTTTTGACGATGGTGATGAAGTATTATTTGTTTCATCGTTAGTTATTTTTGATTTTTTATTATCTGCCGTTTGTTCATTACTATTATTTGAATTTGATTCATTTTTTCTTTTTCTTGAACCAAACTAAATGAAGGAACAACGAATAAATTGAAAATTGTTAATTAATAATTTACTTTAATAACTGTTTCACGTAGAACAAGTTCATTTGTACGTCTAGGACGTATCTGACGAGGTTCATCAATATTAACATTACATTGATCAAGTTCTTCTTGTTGTGCATTGACACATGAAGCACATTGCCTTTTATTTGATAAAAAGAAAAAAAATCAATTTCGATTAATAAGAATAAGAAAATTTATACCAATCATATTTTTTACTAGCTGATAACATAACTGATAATGTTTTAGCAGGCATTGGTGGTGTTAAACAATCACCATGAAATGCTAAATGACATTGACAACATTTTATCATTTGATTTGATTGATCAGTTTGTTTACAAACAGAACAACTAAACAATAATTTCTTATTTTTTAATATTGACAAAAAAAACAAAATCTAATCTTATACCAATCAGTTTCTGTTGATATTGTTGAAGATAATTGTGGAGATTTAATATTTAATAATTGATTTGTTGTATCATCTTTTAATTGACAATTATAAAGTTTAAATAGTTCAATATATTCATTATATCGATCAGTTAATGAAGATAATGTTTCATATTCTTTTTTAAGTTCAGTTTCTAACTGCAGAAATCAAAAAAGAAGTTAAATTTTGTTAAATAAAATTTTTTTATTAACTTTTTTATGTTCTTCTTTCAGTTGTTTATCAATAGAAGATGATTCTAATTGATTAAGTTTTGTTTCTGCATCAGCTATACGTTCACGAATTTGTGTTAATTCTTCTTCATTTGCTGTAAATGCAAGAAGTGCATTGGTATCTGTTGATGTTAAATCAAGATTATTTGGTAATGTTGTTAATTGATTAGGACGAAGACGTTGAGCTTTGTCAAAAAAACTTTTTAATGCTACTGGATCAACCATTAAAGATCTGTTTTGAATATTAGAAAAAGATTTTTTAATCAAAATAAATTTTTATATTTTCATTATACCTTGCAATATGAGTTTTACTTGGTTTTGGTAATCTTGGAAATGTTTCACTACGTTTTTTATATATCGACCAATAATTCGTTAATGTTTGAAGAGAATCTTCCTAAAATAAAAGAAATTTTCGAAAGAAATTTTAAACATAATATTAATTTACAGTTAATTGATCTCGATGATCTAATTGCTTTTGTTGTACTTCACATATTGTATAATTTCTTTGCACTGTTTTATATGTACCTGATATCGATTGATGAGTAACACAATATAATTCACATTCAATTTTTGACTAAAGAAAAAGAATTTATATAGTTAACTTTTATCTAAAAATAAGAATTGATAGATTTTAATATTCGTTAAAAAAACCTTTTCCACATTCGGATAATATCCAAACACTTAAATAATAATAAAAGAAACTAAGTGCGAGCGTAGTCAGGATTTCGATCTAGGCGAAGCTCAACTTCTCGTAGCTTCCCCAGTGACTACGCCACTATTGTATGTGTTTTTATGAATTATTTCTCTTTGTGACACTCTTGTTATTAAAAGTCATTTTGTTGATATTCGATTTAGTTACATTTCAAATAAGTTTTTATCAATATTTAAACTAACCAGTTCTCCTCTAATTTGTAACAAACCATTTTTATTTGCACATGATAAATGAAATGCATTTGGACATAATCCCGCATCACATGAAACTGTTACACCTGATCGTGATTCACATATATGACATGGCTAAAAATTAATTAATTAAAATTTTAATTAATGAAAAAAAAAAAGATTTTTTCAACTTTATTTCCAAATTTTTGTGAAGGAATATTTGATAAATCAACAGGTGTGTAATAAAGTTCATCATAATATAAAATACCTGGAACTCCAAGAGCACAAACAACATGAATCCATGTTGATTCTAATGTTGGCCAAAATGCATTACAACGATCTTTTGTAGGACACAAAGCACATGTCTAGAAATAGATATACAAAAAAAGAAAGCTAATTTATCTTAATCAAAACATATTATCTTACTGGATCATCAACATGTGCTAAACAAGGTGTACAAAACCAATATTCTGATGGTGAAGATGAATCTGATGATTTATCATCTAATGTATCTGCATTATAACAACCTAAGATTATCTTTTAATTAATAAATCAAATTAATAAAAATATTTCTTTTATTTACTTTCATGAACAATTACTCCACATCGATCACAATAAACAATTGGATCATTATCATCTGTACTAAATAGAAAATTTCGTTTTTTGTTTTTTTTAATATAAAATTTATTTTTGATTTTTACCTTCCACTCAATAAACAAATGGAACATATTTTTGTTTCTGCTATTAACTAATTAAATAACAAACAAGAATAATATATACATATGTATATATAAACATACCGGTTTTGTTATTGATTCATCATTTGAATTATTCTCTTCACCAGACATTTAAGCTCAATTTATTTCTTTAGAATTTTAATATTCTGCAAAAAGAGAAAATTTTCTTTTATTATTTGTATTATTTCCTTTA